GCGAAGCCGAGCGGCTTGGCTTGGGTGCACAAAGTCACAAAGACAAAGTTCGGTGTTTCGTTCGCTTCGCTGCCTTTCGAAGTAGGCAGGGGTCTGAGCCGTGTTATCTTGAGCGGGTAGGTTCATCAAAGTCAGCTCACTTTGGGCGGGTAATTGAAGGACAGAGCACGTTGCCAATTGAGTGGGAATCCAAAACAAGTGACGAAATTCTGAGCGGCACTTCTCTGAAGGAAGACAAGAAGCCGTCAGACGATGCCTCAATTTCTCGATTGGTATACGTTTTTGTTTTTTTTTGATTCTGGTCATTTTTAGCCGAGGAGTTCAATCAATTCAAGCAGTGTGTTTTGCTGGCATAGGGTTGGGAGGGCACGTCCGAGTTTTTTCGGCTCGCCCAAGGTCCACTGCCGGACTGACAGCCGAACCGCGGGTTTCACCCAAGCAGTGCCCAATGCCAGGAACCACCTTTAAAGTGTCGGAGTCCCAGGATGAGATCCCCAAATGGGTTGGTTGTCCACAAGTATGCCCATATGCTTAGGTGCTGGTACCCGGGGTCATTGTCCAGAGTGTCGTAGAGTGTAATTCGCAGATTCTCTGAACATTTGGCCATTTGTAGAAAGGGGGGTTGTGGTCTGTACAACCCGTGCCTTTTGCATATTGGTATAGAACTAATCAAGTCAATGGGTTTTGGGCGCTGCTTACCTGTTTCACTCCTCCACGAAAGTGGGGCAGGTTCACACAATGACTCGCAGCTGTAGTTGCTGGCATTTTCGAGCAAGCATGCTTGTTTCCTTTTGGATTCTATCACTCTAGCCTAAGGATGGAATCCTCTTTTTAAAGCCTTTACCACGACCCGCAGGAGTTTTGAGCATGACGCCACGGATTGCACATCAATTGTGTCACGGTTTCACCTAGGCCTGCGCAAATGTAGAGCCAAAAACGAGCCGGCGGTATTGCGGTATTCCGTCAGTGGAGATGAACAGCACACGACAAGCCTCACAGCTGCAGTTTGGTCACATGAATGCTGACGCCAAGTAGCCCATGTCTTGGTCATCGTGAACATTTTCGAGAATTCCCTTCAGTGTGCTCCAGAGGTTGGCAGGTAGACTCTTGTTCTTTTTGTGGACAATCAGGCTAATTAGATATGGATTTGGGTTGGCGATGTTCAACATCAGAACATCCGTGAGGAGCATGGTGCAACATGAGCATCTGGCGTGAGTTAGCAAACGTTCAACCACATTTTGTTCAGGGACCTGCAAGGTCGTGGGCTTCGCAGCTTGACTTGGCCTTCCCGATGTTCCCGTGGACCAATTGCCCGGTGCGTCGGTGGCCCTTTTCAGCTCAAATAGGTTTTTTTTGTCGCGTAGGGCCGTAGGGTCATGCTTTGGGGCTGCTAAATGAACCTGTTCTCATTTGGCTGTGGCTCAAAAAACCGGTACCAAAATGGAACCCTGTAAATGGAACCAAAAACTAAAAGCTGCGTAACCCTAGCTCTTGAGCCGAGGGGGGTCGCCTTTTCTGATTCGGGCTCAGGCGTCCAGGGCCGACTTCCATTGAGGCGGCCACAGCTGAGTTGGCAAGGAGTCACCAAAAGAAGGAGCATGTTGCAACCGACCATCCAAATGGCAGGGTCTGACAATCAAAACCCACATGAGTCACAATAAAAACCCAGGTAATTGGAGATCAGGGACGATGACGGCCACAAATGCGTGCGCCCTGGACTAGTTGAATTCCGGGCTTTGATTATGACTCATATGTTCATAGGTCACAGGTTTACAGGTTTTAGAACTACGAATACATCATCAACTGTTAATGGGGTTGTGGCAGGGTCTAAGAATTGGCACTTGCTAGCGTGCGGGAGGTCCGCATGGATTGATAGTGTCATTCAAGTATGCCCAAACAAGATCGGATCCCGACAGGGTTTCTTTGTTCGCAGCTATTTGTCCACTGTTTAGGGAACTCTTGGTCAGTACTAGTTGATCAACGACGAACCCTCTTCAGTCACTAGAGCTGGGTTCCCTTTTGGAGCGGAAAAGTCACCATTGAAGCGAGGTTTCTTTGACTACTACGTTTCTTCATAGTTTTGGTGTAGAATTTGCTTTTTTGTTGGCATTCTTTCTTGTGAGTATCGCTTGCGAACGCTTTTTTGCACCCATATCGCTGGCCGGAGAAGGCAGAAATACGCCATGACCTATACGTTACGGACATGAGAAGGACTTCACGCGTGCTGACCAGCTTGGCTGTTGATGCCTTACAGGCAATGGTTTTCGGGTCCTAAGTCATCAACTATTGTCCAACCTCTCGTTTAAGGATTGCAGGTATTGATTCAATCGAGGTATTGTGAGGGATCCAAAGATGGCGTTCGTGCTGACGAAGTGGGATTTGTTTAGCAATCCCGAAGAGGGAGCCTAGTTTTGACACATAGCCGGTGATATCTCGTCCAACAGAGAAACGCGCTTCTAGTGTCCCCATATCCCGCAGCATCAACATTTGTTATTGCTGTTCCAAGTTTGAACCCGCATTGGCAACGTCACCTTTGTTGAGCAGATTTGTTTTTTGTCCAGCTGCTGCTGAGCTAGATTCGAGCAGATGGGACTCTTCTTGTGGATGCCAGATTAAATCACCCATGAGTTTGGCTGGAGATTCCACTGGGCGATACCCTCCCTCCAATTAACATGGAACCTGACCGGGTTCTGTTTAGAAGGACCATGGCGTTCCAGGACCCCCCTGTCAGGGTTCCATATTAACTGATGGGAGGTATAGACCTTTCATGTCCCCCCGCATAAAACTCGGCTTGGCGTTCCGCGAGGCCGGTGCTGAAGCCTTTGGAAGGCCCCAAGGAGCGCCGATGTAGTGGTTGTTGCTTTAAAGGATGTGGCTTGGATCTGATTTGGAGATCAGACATTTTCAGTTTTGTTTCTGAAAACAAATGGGGCAACATTGACTATGGGACAATTGTCCCTTCTTACCCAAAATGGGTAGCTTGTCCCATGTGGTGAAAGTCATCAGTTTGTTTGTGGTCTTATGGTCATCCCATGTAAAGGACCCTTTGATCAACCCCACTGCCAGCAGACAGATTCAAGTTCTCCTTTTTCGCAAGAAATCAACTGAGCTCTGAGCCGGTCGAGCGGTCGTCACTGTGTTGAACAATGGGCATTTGAGTTATATCAGTTGGCATACTTGGCAACATGTTCCAATAAGCTTATTTTCGAGACCGGTGCCTGCCTGAAAGCGGCTTTGGTGCTTTTAGCTTCTTGGGGTGTCGCAACATGCTGCAACCAAAAACAACCACAGCAAAGCAGCCGCAACAACAACAAAAACCACCACGACAACCACAGCAACCGCAGCAACTACAGCCACCACAACAACCACAACAGCCAAAACAACCACAACAACTACAACTATTTCTGAATCAGGTCTGGCAGGCTTGGGTGTTCCGCTAATCATTTCTGACAGCAGTGCCAACCATGCTGATTTTGGCTCAAGGGATTGATCCAAATGTGGCTGGTTGAGTTTTTCAGATAGCAGAAGTGACCTGTATGGCTGTGACTCACGTTGCGTTTACTGAGCACCCGGCGTGCACTCCAACCTCCAGCGGTGTTCTCCGACTTTTGTGCTCGCGTCCAGGAGCTGCGAGCGAGTGGAGCGACCAGTCAGGTCTAGGTGCTTTGGAAGTCCCTGGCAGAAATTCGGCATCACAGGTGCCCATGCCCGAGTTTCCGAGAGTTTCCCCGCATACGGATTACCCATGTTGATGTGAGGAACAGCGCGGTGGCTTGCGTTTCCGTTCCACGTGGTGTCGGCGAGGCGTGGTGGCTCCCGCTGGCCAGGTTGGAGTGAATATCCAGGACTTTTCGAGCCTATCAAGGTGAACGGGCCTTCAAGGAGGAACATGTGGGCGGCAAGCTGCCGAAGCAGTTGGGCACTTCCCCCTAAATCCAGAGCAAGCAAGAGCCACTGCAGAGCCAAGGGCCGCGCTTATGCCTCGCAGTCATACGAGAATGCGCAGGCAGCCAGGCAGACTTTGGCAGGGCGATGGGACTTCTGCAACATGGATTCTTGCAGGCCGCCGGAACGCCAGAAAGTGGCGGCGGCAGGAGATGTGAAGGGCAAGCAGACAGAGAAAATCCTTGAGCTTCGTCAGACAGAGAGAACTGTTCGCTAAGCTGGGTTTTTGGAGTGCGACCAGCTGGCCCGCAAAATTGTTCCAGCGCACGTGACCCAGATGGTGGGCTCTGGAGTGGGCGCTCGACCATGGCCATGCCAACGAAGCACGCTGCCTCGATATGGTCAAGACGCATGACGGCTTCAAGAGCCCGCTGGCAGAGGCGCAAGCTGCAGAGCTGATCGGGCCAGCCAGGACCAGAGGAGGATGTGGCAAATTGCGGTGGATGCCAAACAGCTGACAGTGTCAGTTGCTCGTGTGTCACAGGTTGGAACCTCTTCAAACGCGATATCAGGCCATCGGGGCCGAGCCAGCGCTTGTCAGCCAATGCCCCGAGCTCATGTTTATATGCAGCATATTGGTTGTGGCCGATGGCGGCTACGGCTTCAGGTGCTGCTTTAGGTGCTGGTGTGACGTTAGTCGCCGGCCCGTCGCCATTTGGAAAGAGATTGGGTAGCACAACCGTTTCAAACCACCGAAGATGTGAACAACATGGAGGAAACATATACATAGAGAGAGAGAGAGAGATATATATATATATATGTATATGAATACAGATATGTGATATGTATATATGTATATACACATTGCAGTGAACTAAGTCCGAGATCAGCTTTCTACTGGTAGCTGGGCAAAATTAGTTGGGCGCTGCTCCAGGGGCCCAGCATGCGCCTTCTTAGTTGCTTCCCTTGCTGCTGGAATTGTTTGCTTCTTCGCTGGCCTTCCTGCCTCCATACCCGAACCATACCCAAACATACTTCAGCAAAATGTAGTAAGCAAGATGCAATCAAGATCAGCGCCGAAAGGAGATGCCAAAGGCGATCCAGGCGGGCAAAGT